GTGTTTCACCTCGGAGACACTTTTGGCTAGCTGGATGTGTGGTGGTTTCACCTCAGAGATGCCTTTGGCTAGCTGGATGTGTGGTGGTTTCACTTCAGAAACATCTTTGGTTAGCTGGATGTGTGGTGGTTTCACCCCAGAGACACTTTTGGCTAGCTGGATATTGCAGCTGGGCACGTGCAGACAAGTCCAGGCATGCAGGAGCTCCAATGGCTATGGGATGGAGCTTTTCCCCATAACAGGGGCTGCTCCTCAGGTTTCCCTCTGCCAGAGAAGCTTTAAGGCAATGGTGAAGGAAAGGAGTTGGTTCTGATGGAGGGTTTTGATCCAGAGCTTTATTCTGGCCCACAGGCCTCTGAATGCAGCACCAGCTCCAACAGAACTCCGTGAGCCCGTGGTTGCTGCTCCTTTAACCCAGGGGAGAGGGGCAGGGAAGGGGTAGGGAGCCACCAACCAGGTAAGGGGGGGGAGTCTCAGGGGACAAATGACACCTGGATGGCCCAATGTGCCCCAGGGCTGAAAGGCATCTTTTGAACTCTGCCAATCCCTTCTGGAATGCCAGGATTGACAGACAGCACTCAGCAAGGGGCAAGGGAGGGGGAAAGGAGAGGTGATTGGCACCTGGGGAAGGACTGGGAAACTGAGGCAAGCTGTGACATCATACCACAATGTTCTTCTCCGCAGGCTGAAGGGGAAGATCCACGAGACCAACCTGACCTATGAGGACTTCCCCACCTCCAAGTACATGGGCCCACTGCAGTACACCATCTGGAAATCCCTCTTCCAGGACATCCATCCTGGTGAGGACATGGGGATGGGGGCGTGGAAAGGGATGGGGAGGTCACCAGGGACAGGAACATGCCAGTGAGGGATCACATTTCGCTGACAAGGGATGGGGACATTGCTGCCAGTGGTCTGGGACATCAGTGATGAGGAGCAGGGACACACCAGTGAGGGATGGGGAACTTCACTGAGGAGTTGGTGTTGTTCAGCCTGGACAAAAGGCTTAGAGGTGACCTTATTGCTCTCTACAATTCCTGAAGGCAGGTTTAGGGTTTTTTGGGGAGGTTCTTCCAGGATTCTTTGGAGAGCTCTTTGGGTAGTTCTTCTAGGATCCTTTCAGTCCATTCCTGAAGGGAGGCTGCAGACAGGTGGGGTTGGTCTCTGACAGAACCAGAGGACACAGCCTCCAGCTACCTCAGGGAAGGTACAGGTTGGATATTAGGAAGAAATTTTTCACCAAAAGAATAATAAAGTACTTGAATGCTCTTCCCAGGGAGGTGGTAGAATCACCATCTCTGGATGTGTTTAAAAAAAGCCTGGACATGGCACTTGGTGCTAGAGTCTGGTTGAGGTGTTAGGGCATGGGTTGGACTCGATGATCTTAGAGGTCTCTTCCAACCTCATTATTCTGGGATTCTGAGACAAGGGATGAGCATGAGGACAGGACACCCCAGTGAGGGATGGGGAAGGGGACATCACCTGGGAGGGAATGGGATGTCACTGACAAGGGATGGAGACGAGGGTTAGTGCAGCCCTTGCAGCATTGCTGCCAAGGGTCTGGGACATCAGTGATGAGGAGCAGGGACACACCAGCGAGGGACAGAGGACATCACTGACTAGGGATGAGCATGAGGACAGGACACCCAGTGAAGGATGGGGAAGGGGACATCACCTGGGGGAAAACGGGATGTCACTGACAAGGGATGGGGACATTGCTAACAAGGGTCTGGGACATCAGTGATGAGGAGCAGGGACAGGGAACATCACTGACAAGGGATGAGCATGAGGACAGAACACCCCAGTGAGGGATGAGGACAAGACCACCTTGGTGACGGCCCCATGCCGGTCGTCACCCCGGTGGCCCCTGGGCTGTCTCCAGGGCTGCACTAACCCTCGTTCCCCCCCTGTCCCTGCTGTGGCAGTGCCAGCAGCGCTGACCCTGGACCCTGGCACCGCCCACCACCGCCTCATCCTGTCGGACGACTGCACCATCGTGGCCTACGGCAACCTGCACCCGCAGCCGCTGCAGGACTCGCCGCGCCGCTTCGACGTCGAGGTGTCGGTGCTGGGCGCCGAGGCCTTCGGGGCCGGCGTGCACTACTGGGAGGTGGTGGTGTCCGAAAAAACCCAGTGGATGATCGGCCTGGCGCACGAGGCCGTCACCCGCAAGGGCAGCATCCAGATCCAGCCCAGCCGCGGCTTCTACTGCATCGTGATGCACGACGGGAACCAGTACAGCGCCTGCACCGAGCCCTGGACGCGGCTCAACGTCAAGGGCAAGCTGGAGAAGGTGGGCGTCTTCCTGGACTACGACAAGGGGCTGCTCATCTTCTACAACGCCGACGACATGTCCTGGCTCTACACCTTCAGGGAGAGGTTTCCCGGCAAGCTGTGCTCCTATTTCAGCCCCGGCCAGAGCCACGCCAACGGCAAGAACGTGCAGCCGCTGCGGATCAACACCGTCCGTATCTAGGGGGGGTTTTGGGGTGTCCCCCCCGGCCCTGGCGGGGGTTCCCCCGCTCCAGGAACTGGTGCCGGTGCTGGGCAGGGTCTGGCGTTGCGCCGGCTGCTCTCGGTCCTGTGCTTCCAGGGGATCCCAGTGCGGGGGGCTGGGATCGGCAATAAAGGATTTGGAGAGAAGGGGCTGGGTGGTGGAGAGCCCCAGGGTGGGGGGGCTGGGCTGGGGGCACCGTGGGGTGACATGGCAGGGGTGTGTCACTGTACTGGGGTGCCACACTGAGCTGGGGACATTGTGGCACAGTGCCATGGCAGGGGTGTGTCACCATCATGCGGATGCCACACTGCTGGGGGTATATTGTGGCACTGTGCCATGGCAGGGGTGTGTCACTGTGCTGGGGTGCCATTCTGTGCTGGGGACATTGTGCCCTGCTCTGTGCCATGGCAGGCATCTGTCACCATGCTGGGGGTGCCACACTGTGCTGGGGACATTGTGGCACAGTGCCATGGCAGGTGGCAGGGGTGTGTCACTGTGCTGGGGGTGCCACACTGTGCTGGGGGCATTGTGCCCTGCTCTGTGGCACTGTGCCGTGGCAGGAGTCTGTCATCATCATGGGGGTGCCACACTGCGCTGGGGACATTGTAGCACTGTGCCATGGCAAGGGTGTGTCACCATGCTGGGGGTGCCATGCTGGGGGCATTGTGGCACTGTGCCGTGGCAGGGGTCTGTCGCCATGCAGGGGGTGCCACACTGCTGGGGGCATTGAGCCCTGCTCTGTGGCACTGTGCCATGGCAGGGATCTGTCACCATGCAGGGGGTGCCACATTGTGCTGGGGCATTGTGGCACTGTGCCATGGTGGGCTGTGCCATAGCAGGAGTGTGTCACTGTGCTGGGGGTGCCACACTGTGCTGGGGGCATTGTGCCCTGCTCTGTGGCACTGTGCCATGGCAGGGGTCTGTCACTGTGCTGGGGTGCCACTCTGTGTTGGGGACATTGTGGCATTGTGCCATGGTGTTCTGTGCCATGGCAGGGGGTCTGTCACCATGCTGGGGTGCCACACTGTGCTGGGAGCATTGTGGCACTGTGCCATGGTGGGCTGTGCCATGGCAGGGGTGCCACACTCTGCTGGGGATGCCACACTGTACTGGGGACATTGTGCCCTGCTCTGTGGCACTGTGCCATGGCAGGAGTCTGTCACCATGCTGGGGGTGCCACACTGTGCTTGGACATTGTACCCTGCTCTGTGGCACTGTGCCATGGTGGGCTGTGCCATGGCAGGGGTCTGTCACCATCATGGGGGTGCCATGGGTGTCACACCCATGCATCAGGGGTCACCATGCTGTGGGACATGTACCGTGACACATGTGCCACGTGTGCAGCCCTATGCTCTGCTGTGCCATGCCATGCCATGCCATGCCATACATGCTGTGCCATGCCATGCCATGTGTGCTGTGCCAGGCTGTGTCACCCCTGGCAGGGCTCTGTGTGCACTGCAGTGTCCAGGGGCTGTGCGGGAGCTGGGCTGTCAGGGTGGGCTGTACAGAGGGGCTGATCTGTGGGCAGTGGGCTGCACACAGGGGTGCTCTGTGCCTTGGTGTGGTACACAGGGGATGCTCTGTGATGTTTTGGGGGGGCTCTGTAGGGATAAGGTGTATGGGGTTGTGTGTAGGGCCTGGGCTGTCGTATGGATGTGGGTCCGTAGGGGTGTGGTGTACGGAGGGAGCTGTGTGGGGCAGTGGTAACGGGGTGGGCCGTGCAGTAGGGTGATAGAAGGGGCTGATCTTTAGGGCCTGGGCTGTGCCAGGACTGTGGGATAACAGGGGAGATGTGTGGCTGTGCAGGGGATGGGCTGTATATGGAGGGATGGGGATGTATAGAGGGGGCTGTTTATAGGATCACGGGGTAGGGGGTGATGTGTAAGGGTGGGGGGGATGTGTAGGAGGTGTCACACACCAGCAAAGGACAGGGGGACATTGGGGGGGATGTTTAGGGGGTGTCACACACCAGTAAAGGAGCACTGGGGGATGTTTAGGGGGTGTCACACACCAGTGAAGGAGCACTGGGCGGGTGTCACACACCAGTAAAGGGCAGGGGGACACTGGGGGTAATGTTTAGGGGATGTCACACACCAGTAAAGGAGCACTGGGGGGATGTTTAGGGAGTGTCACATACCAGTGAAGGAGCACTGGGGGGTCTATAGGGGGTGTCACACACCAGTGAAGGAGCACTGGGGGGGTGTCACACACCGGTAAAGGAGCACTGGGGGGATGTTTAGGGGGTGTCACACACCAGTGAAGGAGCACTGGGGGTGATGTTTAGGGGGTGTCACACACCAGTAAAGGAGCACTGGGGGGATGTTTAGGGGGTGTCACACACCAGTAAAGGAGCACTGGGGGGATGTTTGGCGGGTGTCACACACCAGTAAAGGAGCACTGGGGGTGATGTTTATGGGGTGTCACACACCAGTAAAGGAGCACTGGGGGGATGTTTGGGGGGTGTCACACACCAGTAAAGGACAGTGGGGCGCACTGGGAGCAGTTCCCTTCCCCGCCCGCCAGGCGGCGCTGCGGGGCCCGGCCCGTGCTCTCCGCGCGTGCGCCCAGGGTGGGCAATCGAGCACCGAAAAGCGGAAGGGGTGCCCTGCCATCTTGCCCCGGGCACAGCCCCTCCGGTACCGGGGAACGCGGGGGGCACCGGGGGGGGGGGGGGGGATGGGGCAGTGAGGGGCCTGAGGGGCTCGGCTGCGGCAGCGACGGGGCACCGGGGCCTTGGAGGGGGCTGAGGGAGTCCGGGGGCTGAGGCGTCGCTGTGGGCCTGGGTAGGAGCTTGTTGGGCGCTGGGGGTTGCGGGACTGGGGGGGCTGTGGGCACGGGGGGCGCCTTGGGGGGGCACTGAGGATGGGGGGGGTTCGGGCGGGTTGTGATTTATGAGGGGCTGGGGAGATGGAGAGCGCTGTGAGGGGCCTGGGGGGCTTCAGTGGTCTGTATGGGCGATGGAGTGCAGGGGGCTGTGAGGGTGGAGAGGGGGTTTGGGGTAGGGGTGTCTGTGAGCTTGGGGGTGCTCTGGGTATTGGGGGCGAGGTGTGAGGAGATGGGGCCGCTGAGGGGAATGGGGGGTGACGGGGAGAAGCCTTGGGGAGCCCATGTTGGGGCTCAGCATAACTGTGGGGTGGGTGTGAGGCACCCGAGAGGCTCCGGGTGGGCTTGAGAGTCTCCTGTGAGGCTTAGGATGCGTTTGGGGGTCAGAATGATTTTGGGGGTCACCCCGGGCCCCCAGGGTGGATGTGGGGAGTCCCCTTTGGGGATGCCATTGGGGCACCCCATGCGAGCCTCGGCTGTGTGGGGGTGTCAGGGCCGGGGGGTCCCTGTGGGTGGCTCCGGTACCCCCGGTGACCCCAGCCCGGGCCGCAGCCATGGATGCGGGCGCGGGGGCGCGGAAGGAGCGGCCGAAGCCGCGGGAGCCGGCGGCCCGCCTGGAGAAGGCCAAGCAGAGGTCGGCACAGCAGGAGCTGAAGCAGCGGCAGCGGGCGGAGGTGGGAGCGGGGAATGGGGAGGGACCCGGCCCAAGCCGCGGCCGAGCCCCCTTTGCCATCCTAACCCTTTCCCCACCCCAGATCTACGCCCTGAACCGGGTGATGACGGAGCTGGAGCAGCAGCAGTTCGACTCCTTCTGCAAGCAGATGCAGGGATCCGGGGAATGACAGCCAGCCCGGCCTCTGCCCTACCCCCCCTTTTCTAATCCCCCGGTATTTATTATCAAATCGCCCTTTTTTGTATCAATAAAATCTCTGCTGGTTCTCTGTCTCCCGGCTCCTGCTTGCTCCGGGTGCGAATGGCCTGAGGCCAGAGCAGGGCTGAGGCCAGAGCAGCTGCAGCGCCGGGTGCCGGCTCCAGCCACGGCCCCACCCCGCGTTCCCTGCTTCAGGGAAGGGTCCTGCCCTCCAAAAGCCGGGGTTTATCCCGAGGGGATCCAGCAGGGCAGGGTCCTGCCCTCCCGGAGCTGGGTTTATCCCAATGGGATCCAGCAGGAGCCGCATCCCGCAGCTGCTGCTGCCGGCAGAGCCTCCCCGGGGATCCCGAGCGTTCCTGCAGCTACAGGTTTGACCTTCGCTTCCTTCCTCCGCCCACACCCTCTGCTCCAGCCGCTGCTGTCCGGCGGCCTCCGGCTCTGCAGAGACTTTGGATCGAGTCCTGCTTCCCCCCTTTCCCTGCCCCAGCTGTGTCGCACTGAGGGGTGAAAATAAACCACGTTTGGGATATGGTGTTTCCCTGCAGCCACGGGTTAAGTGGTGAATTCCACTGCTCCCAGAGAATCCCGTGTTGGAAGCCCTCTGGAAGTTTAATCAGCATCTTCCTCCTCCCAGCCAGGGAGGGCCCTCCTTGTTTTTCGAGTGTGAACCTCCCTTTGTAATGAATTCTCACTGGTCAGTGTGAGCAATCCCTAAACTTCAGGTTCCTGTGCAGAGAAGGGCTTGGGAGTCTCTTGTCAGGGAGAACTCTAAATTTCCCATTTCCCAAGGATTTGGAGCTCTCTGCTGTTGGGGGGATGTGGTTTCCCTCAATCCCTCCAAAATACAGGGATTTTGGGGCTTCCCTCAATCCCCACAAAGGAAAGGTGTAAAATTTGTGGGGGTTTTGGGGCTTCCCTTGATCCCCACAAAGGATTGGGATTTGGGGAGTTCCCTCGATCCCCCCAGAGGATTGGGGTTTTGGGGTTTCCCTCAATCCCCACAAAAGACAGGGATTTTGGGGCTTCCCTTGATCCCTTCAAAGGATTGGATTTTGGGGCTTCCCTCGATCCTCACAAAGGATTGGGATTTTAAGGGTTCTCTCAATCCCCACAAAGGACAGGGATTTTGAGGCTTGCCTTGATTCCCCCACAGGATTGGGATTTTGGGGGTTCCCTTGATCCCTACAAAGGATTGGGATTTTGGGGCTTCTATCAATCTTCCAAAGGACTGGGATTTTGGGGCTTTCCTCCATCCCCACAAGGGACAGGGATTTTGGGGCTTCCCTCGATCCCCCCAAAGGGTTTCTGGAGGTTCCATTAATCCCCACAAAGGATTGGGATTTTGGGGCTTCCCTCGATCCCCACAAAGGACAGGGGTTTTGGGGCTTCCATCAATCCCCACAGAGGATTGGGATTTTGGGGTTTCCCTCAATCCCCACAAAGGATTGGGATTTTGGGGGTTCCCTCGATCCCCACAAAGGACAGGGGTTTTGGGGTTTCCATTAATCCCCACAAAGGATTGGGATTTTGAGGTTTCCCTGCAGCTGAGCCTTTCTCTTTCTTTACCTTAGCAGCTCCTTCTGCCACCCAGATTCAGCAGGAAGCGCGAAGGGAGGAAGCAGCGCCCGAAGCAAGGACGAGGAGGACGAGGATGAGGATGAGGAAGGCTTTACTAGGCTCTAGGGAGGGCTCAGGCCTTGCAGCTCCAGAGGGCGAAGGGGAAGACGATGTAGGACGTGGCCCAGGCCAGGCAATAAACCGCAGCCACCGCCGTCGGCGCCAGCAGCACGGCCACCACCCCTGTGAGCAGGACAATCCTTGGCCATCCGCTCCCCCTGCCCTTTCACCACCATCCCCAGAGCTCATCCCCGTCCTTACCTCCAGCATAAACCAGTTTCTTCCAGAGCTGTGACTCCAGCACCCTGTCGTGGGGGTAGCAGCCGCAGTCGGCCATGAACAGGGTCATGGCGGTGGCGGCCACGCGCAGCAGGGCCACGTGTCCCCCCGTCAGCAGGAAGGTGCTGGCCAGCAGCGCCGAGGCGTAGGGGCACGGCAGCCCTCGGTAGGTGAAGGGGATCCCTGGGGGGTGGCAGCACTTCAGTGTTGTTGTAGTTTTTATACTTTGTAATACTCTGTAATCGTGTTGTTTTATATCCCCGTATTTCTCCCAGATGGTTTACCCCACATTGTACTCCCCTCCTTTTACCTGTGTAATCCCTCTGCTTTGCTGAGATCATCCCCAAATCCCCACCCTGGCTCTCTATCAATCCCTCAGCATCCCATCCCCTCCATCCAGAACTTTCAGTCCAGGATGTTGAGTGATTGCCCATACGCCAGGGGTCAACCCCTCAAGTGTTTCTCCATACACTGACCTAAGCATCCATTTCCCAGTCTCCATCCCTTAATTTTTCTTATTGGTTAGTAAATTGTTATCTAAGTAAATTTCTTATTGGCTAGTAAATTGTTATCTATAGTAAATTTCTTATTGGTTAGCAAAAAGTTATCTACTTTAGGTTTCCACCTCCCTTTAAATGTAACCTTGGCACCTCTCTGAGGCTCTCAGCAGGAGGGACCCCGAGGTTGTAGGGGCTCCTTTGGATTAACCCCTGCTAAGAGTCCACACCTTCATCTTCATGTTCCAGCATCTTTTCAGCTGCAGGTGATCAGCCTGGCTGCCTTTGGTACCCCCAGGGATCAGCCTGGTTGTCCTTCTGTCCTTCTGTACCCCCAGGGATCAGCCTGGCTGTCCTTCTGTCCTTCTGTACCCCCAGGGATCAGCCTGGCTGTCCTTCTGTCCTTCTGTACCCCCAGGATCAGCCTGGCTCCCTTTGGTACCCCCAGGATCAGCCTGGCTGTCCTTCTGTCCTTCTGTACCCCCAGGATCAGCCTGCCTGCCTTCGGTACCCCCCGGATCTGGCCAGGGTCCCCTCAGTGGCACTCAGAGGGACTCAGTGTCACCCAGAGGGACCAGAACACAATGTGGGGGCTCACAGCCCAATCCCCCCACTTTTAGGGGCTCACTCACCGCTGGAGAAGAAGCAGAGGCGGGCAAACACAGCCAGCACATAGGCCAGGCTCAGCAGCCCGCCCAGCACGCCCTGGGGCTGCAGCAGCAGCGCCGTGCCCAGCCCGAACGTGGTGAAATCCGCAAAATCATCCAGCTTGGCACCTGTGGGGGCAGCGAGGGGCAGTGCCAGGTGGGCACCGGGCACAGGGGACGCCCATGGGGTCAGCCCTGGCCCGGGGGGATGCACTCACCCAGTGCAGAGCAGGCATCGAGCTGCCGGGCCACAGCCCCATCGGCCAGATCCAGCAGGAAACCCAGGAGCAGCAGCCAGCAGGAGTACTGGTATTGCCTAAGGGGGGACACCCCACTTCTCAGACCCTGCTCCCCTCTTTTTCACCCCATTTCCCCCTTGTTTGCCCCATCGTTGAGGGTGGAGGTAAGCCCAGCCACCAGGTTGGCCACAGAGAGAGCAAAACTGGGGAGATCTCCACTTTTCATCCTATCTTTGCCCTATTTCCTCTTTTTTTCTGGCAGAAGCGGGGTGATCCCCACTTTTCAACCTGCATTTTCTTCTTTTTCCCCCCCATTTCCCCTTTTCTGCCCTGCCCTCTTATTTTGGATGGAGGAGAGCCTGACCCCTGAGATTGGCCATGGAGGGAGCAGATCCAGAGTGACCCCCACTTCCCACCTCTTTTTCACCACACTTACACCTTTTTCACCCTATTTCCTCATTTTTCATCACATTTCCCCCATTTTCCAGAAAAGCTGGGGTGACCCCCACTTTTCAACCCTCTTTTTTACCCCTTTTCAGCCCATTTCTTCCATTTTCCCCCCCTCACCCATTGATGCTGCAGAGGCCAAAGGTGAGGAGAGAGCCAAACCACAGTGTCCCCCACTTTGCATCCCCCTTTTTCCCTCCATTCCCTTGATTTTCCTGCAAACCAGGGCAAACCACACATTTCTACCCAATTTTCACCCTATTTCTATCTTTCCTCCCCCTTTTTCCAGCAAACCATGGCAAACTGCACTTTTCTACCCGATTTTCGCCCTATTTCCATCTTTCCTCCCTCCCTTTCCCCCCTTTTCCAGCAAACCAGGGCAAACCACACTTTTCTACTTGATTTTCACCCTATTTCCATCTTTCCACCCTCTCTTTCCCCTTTTTCTAGCAAAACCAGGCTGGCCCCCACTTTTCTACCCAATTTTCACTCTATTTCCATCTTTCCAGCAAACCAGGGCAAACCACACTTTTCTACCCGATTTTCACCCTATCTTTCCTCCCCCTTTTTCCAGCAAACCAGGACAAACCACACTTTTCTACCATCTTTACCCTCTCATTTCCCCCTTTTGCAGAAAAAACCAAGCTGACCCCCATTTCTGCGCCTCTTTTCCACCACATTTCCCATTTTTATCCCATTTTTCCCCACCTATTGAAGCTGCAGATGCAGGAGGGGACCCTGCCCACCAGCTTGGCCACAAGGGGAGCACACCCAGTGTGACCCCCATTCCCCAGCCCCGATTTTCCCCCCGTTTTTCCCAGTTTTTCCCCACCTGTTGACGCTGCAGAGGATGGAGGAGAGCCCCGCCAGCAGGTTGGCCACGGAGATGCCGTTGGCCGCGTTTTTCCGCAGGAATTCCAGCGCCCGGCCCCTTCCCGCCTGCTCGCTCAGCACCAGCTTCTTGGTGGACTGGAAAATACCTACAAACCCCCCAGCGTGTTCCAAACCACGGAGGGGCTGCAGCCCCCCTCAAAAAAAACCAAACATAGCAGGGTTGGTGCAGGGGTTCCCCCTCCTCAAACCAAAATCCCCCAAAATCTCTTTAGGAAAGCAGCAGGGGATTGATTCGTGCAAGCTCTGCTGCTGAGCTCCCCACCGGCGGCCGAAAAAATGGAATAAAAGAGGCCAAAAAAAAAAAAAAAAAAGGCAAAGAAATGAATAAAAGAACCGTAAAAATATAATAAAATAAAGAAAAAAATTAAGCCGAACCCAAGCTTAGACTAAAAGCCAACCCCGGTTTAAGCTCTATGGATCTTATATACCTATCGGGCTAAGCTTTAGGGAAAGAATTTAAGGGTCCTGTCCTTTGCCCCCCGCCTTTGCCGTGTCCCAAAGCCAGGCAGATCCTTCATCTGAAAGAAAACAGCACGTCAGAGCAAGACAAACCCCTCCCGAACCCCCTCAGAGCCCCCCCGGAGCCGCTCCATCGCCGGGACGCCACCAGAAGCAGCTCCCCAGGTGGGAAAAGCCAGCAAAAGCGGCGGCAGAGGAGCCCAGGAGGTGCCGGGGGTCGGCGGCTCCGAGCCGGGAGCGACCTTTGGACACCGCGCCCGGAGCCGGGCTGAGCCCGGGCTGAGCCGGGAAAATCCCCCCGCATTCCCGCACGGCCGCCGCGGATCTTTGGGGCCGCGCTCCCCACCTGTATCCCTCAATTCGGGGTGAGTTTGGGGATGTTGGAGAGTGGAATTTTAGGGATTTGCCGTCCCTTTCCCATTCCCGAGGCGCCGGGAATGTTCCGGAGCTGCGGCAGCACCGGCTCCAGGCACCTGCGAGCGTCGCAAACCCGGGCACGGCCGGGGCCCCCCAGCTCGCCCGATCCTGGCGTTTGTCACCCCAAAATCTCCGTGCTGGGATGGGAGGGAATTCCTTAACCCTGCGCAGCTCCAGCTGCTTTTATCTTTACTTTGTGGGGGGAAACAAGGTGATTTTGGCTCTTTCCAGGTGCGTTACGAGGCGCAAAGAAAAGGGGTTCAGCCACCACAAATTCAAAGTTAACCTACTTTTGGGGGGCTATGCATGTATTTTACAAATTTCTGCCCCCATAACCCTAATTTTTCTCCTAACTCCCGCCAAATGATAATTTTTAGGGATGGGGGACACCTCGCCAAGGGGCCGAGCGGCATCCAGGTGACACTTACCGACCGGCGGTGACACCATCCACATGGCGGCGGCGGCTGCGGCAGCGGCGACAGTGACGCCCCGGCCCGGGGAAACTGAGGCAGGGGCCGCTCCGTGGGGCTCCGCGCGGTGCCGCGTTATATAAGGAAAAGCCTCTCGGGCTGAGTCACCCGGCGGGGGTGGGTCCGGCCAGAGGCCACGGACACGGACACGGGGGGTTCGCAGCCGCTTGGCACCACCGGCGAGGGAGGAGCTGCCCCGGGGGGCCGGGGGGCCATGCCAGGCTCGCCGTGCCCCTGCCAGCCTCCCGGCGCCCCTGCCAGCCTCCCGGTGCCCACGCCAGGCTCGCAGCACCGGTGCCAGGCTCGCAGCGCTTGTGCCAAGCCTGCGGCGCCCGTGCCAGGCTCGCAGCGCCCGTGCCAGGCTCGCAGCACCCACAACGGCAGGGCCGGGCTGGCAGCACCCATGGGGCGCTGATAGCACCTGTGTCACACTCGCAGCTCGGGTGTCTCGCTGATAACACCCGTGCCAGGCTCGCAGCGCCCTTGTCGCTCTGCTGACACCTCTCACAGCGCCCATTCCAGGCTCACTCCTCGCCTCCTGCAGGTGTGGACCCCCCGTGCCACGCTCATGGCACCTCTGCCAGCTTTGCAGCCCCTTGGGCAGGCTCACCCCACCCACACCCAGCTCATGGCACCCATCCCACACCCCCAGCACCCATCCCACACTCCAGCACCCATCCCGCACTCATGGAGCACATGCCAGGCTCTCAGGGCCCATCCCAGGATTGCACCATCCGTGCCAGGCTCACAGCACCCCTGCCACACTCACAGCACCCTTGCCAGGCTCACAGCGCCCATATCCTGCTCACAACACTCATGCCAGGCTCACAGCACCCCTGGCAGGCCCACAGCACCCATGCCACACTCACAGCACCCCTGCCAGGCTCACAGTGCTCACACCGTGCTTTGTATTGCCCATGCCAGGTTCAAAGCACCCACCCCACACTCACAGCACTCATTCCAGGCTCACAGCACCCATCCCATGCCCACAGCACCCATGCCAGGCTTACAGCACCCATCCCACACTAACAGCACCCATGCCATACTCACAAAACCTCTGCCAAGTGTTCACCACCTGTATTTGTGCGGTGCTTATAGCAGCACACAGCCCCACACCAGTCCCACGGCAGCCTCACAGCCCCACACCAGTGCCATGACACCCACACCAGTCCCACAGCCCCACACCAGTCCCAAACACCCACACCAGTCCCACAGCACCCACACCAGTCCCACAGCCCCACACCAGTCCCAAACACCCACACCAGTCCCACAGCCCCACACCAGCCCCACACCAGTCCCACAACACCCACACCAGTCCCATGGCACCCACACCAGTCCCACAACACCCACACCAGTCCCACAGCCCCACACCAGTCCCAAACACCCACACCAGTCCCACAGCCCCACACCAGCCCCACACCAGTCCCAAACACCCACACCAGTCCCACAACACCCACACCAGTCCCACAGCACCCACACCAGTCCCACAGCCCCACACCAGCCCCACACCAGTCCCACAACACCCACACCAGTCCCATGGCACCCACACCAGTCCCACAACACCCACACCAGCCCCACAGCCCCACACCAGCCCCACACCAGTCCCACAGCCCCACAGCAGCCCCCTGGCACTGCCACACACCTATCCCTGCACCCACTGCCAGCACAGCATGACTGCACTCAAAAAGTGCCACCACCCTGTGCCACCCCACCCCAGCTCCCACCAGTGGCACGGTGGGTACAGCGGGTGCCCCCCACCCTCACCCCCTGCCCTGGGTCCCCTTTTCCACCACCCTGGGCCTGTGCCAGGTGGCCCCAACTTGTGCAAGGGTGTCACGAGCTGGGGGAGCCGAGCCTCCCCCTGGCCCGGAGCAAAGGGCCGGCGATAGCGAGGGGGCTGCGGGGCGGGCGACACCGCCAGGGCCACCGGCGGGGGAGCAAAGGTCCCCGAGGACACGGCGACAAGGAGCCCATAAAACTTATACAGCCCTGCAGCTGGAATTTTCCACGCGGATCGCAGCGGGAATCGGGGGTGCTGCAGAGCCCCGGGGTGGGGGGGTGGCCCCGGGGTGCCCCGTTGGGGGGTCCCAGGGTGCCGGTGGCAGCGAGGACACCGTGAAAGGGCTCTTTGTTCCCGGTCACGCGCCGGTGCCGGCCGTTGCGAGGAGACGGCCGGGCCAGGAGGGCCACGGCCATGGGCACCGGGCCCTGGGGCACCCCGAGGGGGCTGTGCCACTGCCTGGGGGGGGCACGGCCCCGTGGGGGCACGGGATGGCACTGGGTGCCCCATAGGGGACATGCGGGTGTCCTCAGGGCACACAGAGCCACCGCGCCGGTGTGTGTTGGGGTGCCCATGGCAGCAGGTGCCCATGGCACAGGGCACTTGGGGGTGCTATGTCACCTGAGTGCCATCCCTGTGGCACCCGGGTACCCATCCCTGTGGGATCTGCGTGTATAAGGGTGCCATCTCCGTGGCATCTTGGTGCTGTGTCACCTGAGTGCCATCCCTGTGGCACGTGGGTACCCATCCCTATGAGATCTGGGTGTCTCAGGTGCCCATCCCTGTGGCACTGGGGTGTTTCTGGGTGTCCATGCCCATGGCATTGGGCACTTTGGGGTGCTGTGTCACCTGAGTGCCATCCCTGTGACACCCGGGTACCCATCCCTGTGAGAATGGGGTGTCTCTGGGTGCCCATCCCTGTGAGAATGGGGTCTCTGGGTGTCCATGCCCATGACATTGGGCACGTTGGGGTGCTTGACGCTGTGTGTGTCACCTGAGTGCCACCCCTGTGGCACCTGGGTGCCCATCCCTGTGGGATCTGGGTGTCTGAGGTGCCATCTCCACAGCATCTGGGCACCTATGGGTGTCTGGGCACCTCTCAGTCTATCCCCATGGTGTCTGAGTATCTCTGGGGACCCATCTCTGTGGCACTGGGGTGTCTCTGGGTGTCCATGCCCATGGCACAGGGCACTTTGGGGTGCTTGGTGTTGTGTCACCTGAGTGGCACCCGGGTGCCCATCCCTGTGGGATCTGGGTGTCTGAGGTGCCATCTCCACAGCATCTGGGCACCTATGGGTGTCTGGGCACTTCTCAGGGTCTGTCCCCATGATGTCTGAGTATCTCTGGGTGCCCATCCCTGTGGCACTGGGGTGTCTCTGGGTGCCCATCCCTGGGAGAATGGGGTGTCTTTGGGTGTCCATGCCCGTGACATTGGGCACTTTGGGGTGCTTCCAGTACTGCCTGCTGGTAATGGTGCAGCCCCTGCTGCCCCCAGACCCCTGCCCAGCACAAGGACCACAAGGACACACTGGTGCCAGCTGTTGGTGTTTATTGGTTTATTTGCCCGATGCCAGGCCGGGGGGTGTTGATGACAAGGACGCTGCCATGCTCAGTTGTTGTTCATGGTCTGGAAGGGAGAAGTTTCTAAGACAGGAGGACAGCACCCCCAACACCCTGACACCCCAACACTCTAATAACCCAAAACCCCAGCACCCCATCACCTCAGCACCATGGCATCCCAGCACCCCAGGAGCCTGGCACACCAGTGCCCAGCACCCCAGAACCCAGCACCATGGCTCCCCAGAACCCACAGTCCTGGTACCCCATTGCCCCGACACCCCAATTCCCTGGCTCCCCAGAACCCACAGTCCTGGTACCCCATTGCCCCGACACCCCAATTCCCTGGCACCCCAAAACCCAGAGCCCTGGTACCCCATCACCTCAGAGCTCTGGCAAACCTTTGTCCTGGCACCCCGGAGACCTGGTGCCATGGTACCCTGGCATGCCAGCAGTTCAGAGCCCTTTTTCCTCAGCTCCATGACACAAGCACCCCAGTGCTGTGGCACATCTGTGCCCTGGCACTTTGGCACCCCACTGCCCTGGCACCCAGCAGCCTGGTACCCTGGTAGATCCCAGCACCCTAGAGCACCCTGGCACCGACACCTGGCACCCCAGCAGCATGGCACCCTGGCAGTCCCATCCTCTGGTACCCTAGCATCAGAGCACCCCAACAATCTGATACACCAATACCCTGGCACCTTGGCAGCCCAGCAGCCTGGCCCCTTTTCCCCCTGGTGCCCTGGTGCCCTGGTACCCCAATTCCCTGGCACCCCAATTCCCTGGCACTCCAGAACCCAGCACCCTGATATGGCATCCCAATTCCCCAGCCCCCTGGCATCCAATTCCCTGGCATCCTGACACCATGATATCCCAATTCCCTGGCACCCTTGCCCCCCGGCAGCCCAGGATCCCCTTCCCTGTGCCCACCTCAGCAATCCAGTCCTCGAAGGCGGACACGCGGGTGAACACCGTGGGTTTCTTGGCAGCGTTGCAGCCCAGGGCAGACACGAAGCTGGCGATGCCGTGCACCTCCCAGGTGCCATCCTCAGCCTGGCAGTTCAGGGGTCCCCCGGAGTCGCCCTGAGGGGTGGGGTGAGGCCGGGTCAGCACCACAGTGGGTCTGGGATGTGCCCCCTCCCCCCAGAGCGGTACCCACGTTGCATCCGGATTTCTCGGCGCCGCCGGCGCAGATCATGGTCTTGCGGATGGCCAGGGCGCCCCACCAGTCAGGCTGGGTGCAGTGCTCGTAATCCACCACGGGCAGCTCGGCCTGCTGCAGCCGGTCCGGCAGAGTAGACCCCCCAGCTGTGGGATCAGAGCATCGGGGTGTGCACATGGCCATCCGTCTGTCCATCCATCCATCCATCCATCCATCCATCCATCATTCATCCATCCCTCATCCATCCATCCATCCATCCATCCATCCATCCATCATCCATCCATCCATCCATCTGTCCATCCATCCATCCATCCATCCATCCATCTGTCCATCCATCCATCATCCATCCATCCATCATCCATCCATCCATCCATCCATCCATCCATCCATCCATCCATCCATCTGTCCATCCATGCCTCTCTCTACCTCCCCATTCATCTCCCCATCTGTTCTCCATCCCTCCACCCAACCCTCCCTTCCCTCCACATCCCACCATCCCTTCAACCATCTCCCCAACCATCCGTCCCTCCATCTCCCCATCCCATCCCATCCATCATCCATCCATCCATCCATCCATCATCCATCCATCATCCATCCATCCATCCATCCATCCATCCATCCATCCATCCATCCAATTCTCATCCATCCCTCATCCCTTCCTTCCATCTCCCCAACCATTCCCCATTTGTCCATCCCCCCTCCACCTTCCCATCCATTTCCCCGCCTATCCCTCTGTCCATCCCCCCTGCCCGCCCACTCCCCTCCATCCCGGCTGTCTGTCTGTCTGTCCGTACGCACTGGTGAGCAGTCCCCAGCCGCTGAGCACGCACGGGTACCCGTTGGGCAGCACGGAGCCGGCGGGCGGCAGCCGCCCCACCTGCACCTGCGCCGAGAGCACGGCCGGGCGCTGCAGCTTCATCAGGGCGATGTCATTGCTGCGGGGGGACAGAGGTCAGAGGGGCGGCCGGGGGTGGCACGGCGTCCCCAGCCCCCTCCCCAGGGACCCCGCTCACCCACAGGCCGCGCAGAAGCTGAGCCACTTGGGGTGCACGAAGATGTCGTCGGAGTTGACGGGGATGCGCTGCTCGGAGCCCTCCCCGGTGCTCATGTCGTACTCGCCCAGCACCACCTGGTACGTGCGGGATTTGCTGCGGGGAAAGGGGGGGTCAGGGCGTGCGGCGCTCCCTCGGCATCCCTGCTGCACCCGGGAGCCTTTCATGCACCCACACGCTCTGCCCTGCACTCTAAATCAATGTCCTGTGCCATTCCATGCGCCAAATGTGCGTCCAAACTCACCTCTCCGCGCCCTGAACCCCATCTCCTCTGCACCCTGAGCCTCTTCCTGCACCCAAACCCCGGCCCTGCACCCAAACCCCGGCCCTGCACCCAAACCCCCGGCCCTGCACCCAAACCCCGGCCCTGCACCCAAACCCCCGGCCCTGCACCCAAACCCCAGCCCTGCACCCAAACCCCGGCCCTGCACCCAAACCCCGGCCCTGCACCCAAACCCCCGGCCCTGCACCTCCCCATGCACCCACCCTGCGCCCAAACTCACCCCCTGCCCTCTGAGCCCCCTCCCTGCATCCATCCCTGCATCCACTTTGCACTTCTCACCCCACCCATGCACTCCATGCATTTGGCAATTCCTCCCTGCACCGGGAATGCCCTCCCTGCCCCCAGAACCACGTCTTGCACTCAGGACTCCCTCCCTGCACCCCTTCCGTACCCAGGACCCCCCTGTGCCCCCATGAACCTTCTCCATGCGCCCAACCCTGTACCCCACATCCCCTCCTGCACCCCTCCCTGCACCCCACATCCCCTCCTGCTCCCACCCCTGCACCCCACATCCCCTCCTGCTCCCACCCCTGTGCCCTGCGCTCCTCCTGCAGCCGTTCTGCGCTCCCTCCAGCGCAGGCTCCCGCTACACCCACCTCTCCAGCCTGCCCCCCTCCCTGCACTCTGGTGCCCTTCTGCACCCTTCCTGCACCCACCCCCGTATCCAACACCCACTTCCGCACCCCAACACCCAGCTCTGCACCCCGCGTCTCTTCCACGCAGCTCTCTGCACTCCTCCCTGCCCGCAGCCCCATCTCACAGCCCCCATCCCGCTCCCCCCATCTCACAGACCCCATCCTGGATCCCTCATCTCTGCAGCCCCATCCCGCAGCTCCAATCCTGGAGCCCCGTCCCGGTGCCTGGTCCTGGCGTCCCCATCTCGGTGCCTCCATCTCGGTGCCCCCATCCCTGCAGCCCCATCCCCATCCCGCAGCCCCCGTTCCGGTGCCCCCATCCCGCATCCCCCATCCCGCAGCCCCATCCCCACCCTACAGCCCCCATCCCTGTGCCCCGATCCCGGTGCCCGCATCCCACATCCCACACCCCACACCCCCACAGCCCCATCCCCGTGCCCGGTGCCCATCCCGGTGCCCGATGCCCTCACGAGATGCAGTGCGCGGCCGTCATCACCCAGTTGGCCGCGATCAGGGTGCCCCCGCAGGTGTGGCGGAAGGTCCCGTCCCGCTCGTACTGCAGCGAGATCTGAGGGGGAAGAGACAGCGCTGGGTGCCACCGACCCACACGGGTCCCTCTGTCCCCCTGCCCTTCTGTTCCCCTGTCCCTCTGTCCCGCTGTCCCCCCTCTCCCCTCTCCCTCTGTCCGCTCTCCCTCTGTCGCCCCGTCCCCTGTCCCACTGTCCCCATTTCCCACTGTCCCCCTGTCCCGCTGTCTCCTTGTCTGTCCCGCTGTCCCCCTGTCCCGCTGTCTCCTTGTCTGTCCCCCTGTCCTTCTGTGCCCCCATCCCCTCGTCCCCCCTGTCCCTCTGTCTCTCTGTCCCCCTGTCCTCCTATCTGTCCCGCTGTCCCTCTGTCCCCCTGTCCCATGTCCCCTTGTCCTGATGCCCCCCATGTCCCCCTATCCCCTGTCCTCCTGTCTGCCTCGCTGTCCCCCTGTCTGTCCCCCTGTCCTCCTATCTGTCTCGCTGTCCCCCTGTCCTCCTGTCTGTCCCCTGTCCCCCTGTCTGTCTGTCCCCCTCTCCCCGGTCCCCCTGTCTCTCCCTCTGTCACCCTGTCTGTCCCTCTGTGCCCCGGTCTGTCCCCCGTTCCCCTGTCTGTCCCCTGTCCCCTTGTCTGTCCCGCTGTCCCTCTGTCCCCCGTCCCCCTGTCTGTCCCGCTGTCCCCCTGTCTGTCTGTCCCCCTGTCTGTCCCCTGTCCCCCCGTCCGTCCCTCACCTGCCAGGGCCAGCTGTAGGGCTCCGCATCCTGCCCGTTGACCACGCGGGACTCGGGCAGCACGGCGGCGCGGGCACCTGCGGGACACGGGGACACGGTGGCACCGTCACCCCCCGGCATCCCCCAGCCAGCCGAGCCTGGGGACGCGGGGGGCTCAGGGGACACCTCACCGCCGGCCACCAGCAGCAGGACAAGGCTCAGCAGCGCAGCCATGGCTCCGGTGTGGCTGTCCCGGGGCGCCCGCCCGCCTTAAATCCCCGCGGGCACCCAAGGGCACCGCTGGGAACGGGCACCCGGTGCCCAGCTGGGCCCTGGGGGGGTTAAACATTAACCTGGGCCTTGGGGGGACGTGGCACTGGCACCCGGCCAGCGGGGACCCTGCAGGTCCCGAAGCCCCTGTCCCTGCTGCTGCCGCTGCCCCCGTGCCCCCTGTGCGCCCCCAGAGTGCCCCATGCCCACCCCATGCCCCCACAGCCCCTCTGAGTGCCCCCCCAGTGCCCCCCTTAGCCCCAGTGCCCCCCACAGTCCCCACAGCTCTCTGTGTGCCCCACAGTGCCCTCTGTGCCTCCCTGAGCCCCCTGTACCCCCAGAGTCACCACAAGCACCCCCTGTGCCCCTGGTGGCCTCCAGCCCTCCCCACCCCCTGGGCCCCACAACCACCCCTGTCCCCCCCATTCCCTGCGCCCTTGCTGTGCCCATGTGGCTCCCGTACCCTTCATGGGCTCAGTGCCCCTCACACCCTCCCCTCCTGCACCCCCAGAGCCCCCACAGCCATCCCAGGTGCCCTCCACAGTGTCCACATGGCCCCCATGGACTGGATGGCCCCATGGGTCCCTCCTCCCACACCCCATAGCATTTCCATCTACCCCTGTGCCCCCACAGCCCCCCAATCACCTCTGCTGCCCCCACAGCCCCCCAATCACCTCCACTGCCCTCCATAGCCCCCCAATCACCTCCACTGCCCCCCATAGCCCCCCAATCACCTCCACTGCCCCCCATAGCCCCCCAATCACCTCTGCTGCCCCCACAGCCCCCTGCAGCCAGCCCTGTGCCCCCCATGTTCCCATACAGCCCCTATGGCCCTCATGTACCCCCCATCCCACAGCCCATGGTCCCTGTGCCCCCCATATGCCCCGTGCCCTGACCCCCCTGCCCCCCTCCCAGAACCCACAGCCCTCACAATCACCCCCTAAACCCTTTAAACCCCTGTGCCCCCCAATGTCTGCCATGCTTCTTGTGTTCCCCATGTACCCCCCGTACTGTCCTGTGCCCCAATGACTCCTCCTGCACCCCTATAGCCCCCCTAAATCACTTTATGTCCCTGGTGTGCCCTATAGGCCCTATAAACCTCAGTGTGCCCACAGCCCGGAGCCCCTGGTACCCCCATAGCCCCTGTACCCCCCTAGTGACCCCATAGTGCCCTCTCCACACCCCTGGTACCCCCATAGCTCCCTTCCCCTGGTACCCCCATAGCCCCTATAGCCCCCCTGTGCCCCCATAGCCCCTGTACCCCCATAGTGCCCCCTCTACACCCCTGGTACCCCCATAGCTCCTGTAACCCCCCTGGTACCCCCATAGACCCTATAGCCCCCCTGTGCCCCCCATGTCCCCCCCATTGCCCCCAAACTCCCTCACACACCCGGGGGGGTCCCCACGCACCCCAGAACCCTCGTGGAAGTTCCCACAGGAGTTCTCCATGTCCCTGCAGTGTCCCCACGTGCTCCCATGACCCTGTACAAGTCTCCAGAGGGGACACCTGTGTCCCCGTTAAAGTTCCCAGGGGTGTCCCAAGGTGTCCCCATGCACGCCCATGTCCTTGTAAATGTTCCCAGGGGTGTCCCAAGTGTCCCCACGTGCTCCCATGTCCTTGTAAATGTTGTCAGAGGTGTCCCAGGGCGTCCCCACGCACCCCAGAACCCTCATGGAAGTTCCCACAGGAGTTCTCCATGTCCCTGCAGTGTCCCCAAGTGCTCCCATGACCCTGTACAAGTCCCCAGAGGTGACACCTATGGCCCTGTTAAAGTTCCCAAGGTGTCCCATGCACTCTCATGTCCTTGTAAAGTTCCCAGAGGTGTCCCCAGGTGCTCCCACGACCCAGTAGAAATCCCCAGAGGTGACACCCGTGTCTCTGTTAAAGTTCCCAGGGGCGTCCCAAGGTGTCCCCAAGCATTTCCATGACCCTGTAGAAGTTCCCAGAGGTGACACCTGTGTCCCCGTTAAAGTTCCCAAGGGTGTCCCAAGGTGTCCCCATGCACCCCCATGTCCTCATAAAAGTTCCCAGGGGTGACCCTCATGTCCCCCTGTGTCCCCAGAACAGTTCCTGCAGGTGCCCCACAGTGACACCCCCGTGTCACCCTGACACCCCCGTGTCACCCTGCAGCTGCCCAGAGGTGGCCCACATGTCCCCACACACCCCTGTGTCCCCATAAATGTCCCCACAGGTGCTCCATGATGTCCTGCACCCCATGTCCCTGTAAAAGTCCCCAGGGGTGTCCCCACACACCCCTTGTCCCCATAAACGTCCCCAGAGGTGCAGCCCTGTTCTCCCTGCACACTTGTGTCCCCATAAATCTCCCGGGAGTGTCCCACAGTGTCCCCACGTGTCTCTGTGCCAGTTCCCACAGCTGCCCCACGGTGTCCCCATGTGCCTCCATGTCCAGGAGAAGTTCCCAGGAGTGTCCCACGGTGTCCCCACGCACCCGTGTCCCAGTTTAGGCTCTCAGAATTGTCCCCTGTGTCCCCCCATGTCCCTGCAAAAGTTTCCAGGGCTGTCCCCCACATCCCAGTGCCCGTTCCCAGGGGTGTCCCAAGGTGTCCTGCCACCCTCAGCTGTCCCCACGTGTCCCCCTGGTGTCCCTGCTAGTGTTCCCAGGGGTGTACCCATGTGTCCCCCTGTCCCCCTGGTGTCCCTGCAAGAGTTCCCAGGGGTGTCACCCCACATCCCCACGCACCCCAACATAAATTCTCAGAGTTTCTCCCCGTGTCCCTCCATGTAAATGTTCCCAGGGGTGTCCCCTGTGTCCCAGTGCGAGACCCCAGAGTTGTCCCCCAGTGTCCCTGTGCCCCTCCGTGTTCCCCGTGCCTCCCGTGTCCCTGCAGATGTTCCCGGGGGTGTCTCCCCGTGTCCCCTCGTGTGCCAGTGCCAGTTCCCGGGGGTGTTCTGGGGATGTCCCTATGCCCCTGTGTGTCCCCGCTGACGCTGTGTCCCCGTGTCCCAGTGCCATTTCCCAGCCGTGTCCCCGTGTCCCGGTGCCATTTCCCAGCCGTGTCCCCATGTCCCAGAGCCAGTTCCTGGGGGTGTCCCCGTGTCCCAGAGCCAGTTCCCAGGGATGTCCCCGAGTTCCCTGTACAAGTTCCCCGGGCTGTCCCAGTGCCAGTTTCCTGGGGGTGTCCCTGTGCAAGCTCTCGGGAGTGTTCCCGTGTCCCCGTGTCCCAATGCCAGTTCTCCGGGGTGTCCCCGTGTCCCGGTAAAAGTTCCCAGGGGTGTCCCCATGTCCTAGTGCCATTTCCCTGTGGTGTCCTGGTGTCCCAGTTCCCGGGAGTGCCCCAGTGTCCCAGTGCCATTTCCCAGCCGTGTCCCGGTGTCCTCTTGTCCCAGTGCCCGTTTTCGGGGGTGTCCCCGTGTCCCATTGCCAGTTCCCGAGGGTGTCCCAGTGCCAGTTCCCAGGGGCTGTCCCCGTGTCCCTGCACAAGTTCCCAGGGGTGTCCCCGTGTCCCAGCGCCAGTTCCCAGGGGGTGTCCCCGTGTCCCTGTACAAGCTCTCGGGGGTGTCCCAGTGTCTCAATGTCAGTTCCTGGGGTGTCCCTGTGTGCCTATGCACGTTGCCGGGTTTGTCCCCGTGTCCCTGTACAAGTTCCAAGGGCTGTCCCCGTGTCCCAGCGCTACTTCCCGGGGGTGTCCCGGTGTCGCAGTGCCAGTTCCCAGGGGAGTGTCCCGGTACAAGTTCCGGGGGTGTTCCCATGTCCCTGTAGGAGTTCCTGAGGTGTCCCCGTGTCCCAATCCCAGTTCCCGAGGGTGTCTCGGTGTCCCAGTGCCCGTTCCCAGGGGTATCCCAGTGTCCCGGTACAAGTTCTCGGGGGTGTCCCTGTGCCAGTTCCTGGGGATGTCCCTGTGTCCCTGTACAAGCTCTCGGGGATGTCCCCGTGTCCCAGTGCCAGTTCCCAAGGGTGTCCCTGTGTCCCCGTGCCCATTCCAGGGGGTGTCCCGTGACCCACTGCCATTTCCTGGGGGTGTCCCCATGTCCCAGTGCCAGTTCTCAGTGGTGTCCCCGTGTCCCTGCACAAGCTCCCAGAGGTGTCCCCGTGTCCCAGTGCCAGTTCCCAGGGGGCGTCCCCATGTTCCTGTACAAGCTCTCGAGTGTGCCCCAGTGTCCCAATGCCAGTTCCTGGGGTGCCACCGTGTCCCTGTACAAGTTTCCAGGGGTGTCCCCGTGTCCCAGCGCCACTTCCCGGGGGTGTCCCGGTACAAGTTCCTAGGGCTGTCCCCATGTCCCGGTGCCATTTCCCAGCCGTGTCCCCGTGTCCCAGTCCCAGTTCCCGGGGGTGTCCCAGTGTCCCAGTGCCATTTCCCAGCCGTGACCCAGTGTCCCGGTGTCCCAGTGCCCGTTCCCAGGGGTGTCCCAGTGTCCCGGTACAAGTTCTTGGGGGTGTCCCTGTGCCAGTTCCCGGTACAAGTTCCCAGAGGTGTCCCCGTGTCCCTGTGCCAGTTCCTGGGGGTGTCCCACGTGTCCGTGTCCCAGTGCCACTTCTCAGGGGTGTCCCAGTGTCCCACTGCCAGTTCTCGGGGGTGTCCCCGTGTCCCTGTACAAGTTCCTGGGGGTGTCTCCCTGTCCTGGTGCCACTTCCCAGAGGTGTCCCCCTGTCCCAGTGCCAGTTCCCAGGGTGTCCCCATGCCCGTTCCCGGGAGTGTCCCGGTACAAGTTCCCGGGGTGTCCCAGTGTCCCACTGCCATTTCCCGGGGGTGTCCCGGTGTCCTAGTGCCAGTTCCTGGGGGTGTCCCAGTGTCCCTGTACAAGTTCTAGGGGGCGTCCCACGTGTGTCCATGTTCCCGTTCCCGGGGTGTCCCCATTTCCCGGGCTGTGCCTTTTCCCAGCCGTGTCCCAGTGCTAGTTCTCGGGGGTGACCCCGTGTGTCAGTACAAGTTCCCAGGAGTGTCCCAGTGCCATTTCCAAGGGATGTCCCGGTGCCCCGGTGCCGTTTCCCAGCCGTGTCCCGGTGCCCCGGTGTCCCGGTGCAATTTCCCAGCCGTGCCCCAGTGTCCCCGTGTCCCAGTCCCAGTTCCCGGGGTGTCCCCGTGTCCCAGTGCCATTCCCCAGCCGTGTCCCGGTACAAGTTCCCGAGGGTGTCCCCATGTCCAGGTGCCATTTTCCGGGGGTGTCTCAGTGTCCCGGTGCCCCAGTGCCCGTTCTCAGCCGTGTCCCGGTGTCCCAGTGCCATCCCCCAGCCGTGTCCCGGTATCCCGGTGTCCCGGTGCCATTCCCCAGCCATGTCCCGGTACAAGTTCCCAGGGGTGTCCCGGTGCCATTTCCCCGGGCTGTCCCCATGTCCCGGTGCCATCCCCAGCCGTGTCCCGGTGTCCCCATGTCCCGGTGCCATCCCTAGCCGTGTCCCGGTACAAGTTCCCGGGGGTATCCCGGTGTCCCGGTGCCTTCCCCAGCCGTGTCCCGCCGTGTCCCGGTGCAAGTTCCCGGTGTCCCGGTGCCATCCCCAGCCGTGTCCCGGTACAAGTTCCCGGGGGTATCCCGGTGTCCCGGTACAAGTTCCCGGTGTCCCCGTGTCCCGGTGCCATCCCCAGCCGTGTCCCGCCGTGTCCCCTTCCCCCCCCCCCCCCCCGTGTCCCCCCTCGGGCGCGCGCTGCGCGGCCCCGCCCAGCGGGCCGGGGGGGTACCGGGGGGGGGGCGGGGCGGCCCCGGGGCGGCGGCGCGGCCGGAGCGGAGCGGAGCGAGCGGGGCGAGCTCGGCGGGGCCGTGCGGCGATGGGGCGGCGGGGCCCGGCGGCGCTGCGGACCCTCCTGCTGCTGCTCCTGCTGCTGCTGCTGGGGACCCTCGGGCCGGTGAGCGGGGCTGGGGGCGCCGGGGGTCCCCAAACCGGGCTGGGGGGTCCCGGGAAGGAGCGGGGAGTTGGGGCCCGCCAAGGAGTTGGGGAGATCTGAAGGATTTGGGGTGCGTGAAAGGAGCCGGGGTCTCTACGCGCGGATTTGGGGGCTCTGAAAGGAGTCGGGGTCTCCCCCCGCGGAGCTGGGATCCCCAAAGGAGTTGAGGGTTGGGGTCCTCAACAGGGTCCCGCCAAGGAGTTGGGGAGCTCTGAAGGATTTGGGGTGCCTGAAAGGAGCCGGGGTCTCCACCCGCGGATTTGGGGGCTCTGAAAGGAGCCGAGGGCCTTGCAGGAGCTGGAATGTCCCCGTACGGAGCTGGGATCCCCAAAGGAGTCGGGGTCCCGAAAGCTGGAATTCCTGTAGGACCTGAGGTACCCTACAGAAGTTGGGGTCCCCTACAGGAATTGGGGTTCCCGGAGTGGGAGTTCCATGGAGCAGTTGTGAGCCCCCTGTGGTTTTGGGGTCCCTTGAAGTATTTGGGGCCCTTAAAGGAGTTGGGGTCCCGCCAAGGAGTTGGGGAGATCTGAAGGATTTGGGGTGCCTGAAAGGAGCCGGGGTCTCCACCCGCGGATCTGGGGGCTCTGAACGGAGCTGGGGGCCCTTGCAGGAGCTGGGGTCTCCCCCCGCGGCGCTGGGATCCCCAAAGGAGCTGGGGTCCTGGGAGCTGGAATTCCCGTCCCCTACAGGAGTTGGGGTCCCTGGAGTGGGAGTTCCATGGAGCAGTTGTGAGCCCTCTGTGGTTTTGGGGTGCCTTGAAGTATTTGGGGCCCATAAAGGAGTTGGGGTCCCCACAGGATTTTGGGATCCCCTAAAGGATTTGGGTACCATGGAGCTGGGGTCCCCTGAAGGAGATGGGGTCCCCTGAAGGAGTCGGGGTCCCCTAGAGTAGTTACGAACCCCTCTGGGAGTTGGGGTCCCTCATGGAGTTTGTGTCTCTTGAAGGAATTGAGGATCCTTGTTATCCCAGAATTGGGGTCCCCCAGGACACCAAGGAGATGTGGGGGTCCCTGTTCCTGAAGAGATTGGGGTGTCCCCCCTGTACCAGGGGGTCCCTGGCCCCCTGCCCCCCTCCCCAAGAGATTGGGGGTCCCCCCCTGTACCAGAGTCCCGTGGAGACCCCAGGGCCCACCCTGGGAATTGCAATGTCCCCCCAAAGGATCGAGGGGTCCCTCTCCCCATGCCCTGCCCCATCTGGGAATGGGAGTTTGGGGTCCCCCTGCCTGTCCTTTGTGGGGTGTGAGGTCCCCCATGGACTGGGGGGTGCATGGGGTCACCCACCCCATACCCCTGTGGGAGGGGGTTCCCCGTGACCCCCGTGTGAGGGCCCCAGTATGGGGGGGGGGGGGTCTGTCACCCCCCGTTCCTTCAGGGAATTGGGGTCCCCCATGACCCCGGAGTGGGGATGGTTCCCATCACCCCACAAACCCCCCCATGGCGGTCCAGCCCCCCTGTCCCCACCCCCTGCCCTGGCTGGGGGTCACCCATAGGGACACTCCCATCCTGCTTTTGGGGTCCCCCCCGTGCGCACCGCACCCCATCCCCCGCCCCGGCTAAATTTAAAGGGTGATGGTGGCGCCGCTCACCCTAAAAATAACCATCCCAAAATACCCGCCCGGGGGGGGGCGCTGCGCCGGGGGCGCCCCTGGGGGGGTCCCCACCATGCTGGGGGCAGCGGGGCAGGGGTGGCACCTCGGGGTGGCACCGATGGGCGGGGGGGTCCCGGTGGGCGCGGGCTGGGGGGCCCGGGGGCGGTTTGGGGTTGGGCGGGTGCCCGGCGTGGAGAACAGAGGGGGCCTTGTGCTCGGGGCCGGGCTGGCAGCGCGGCCCCCCCGCCCTCCGTGGGGCTCCCACCCACGCCCTGGGGGGGGGGGACAGAGGGGGGGATCCCCACTTTGCAACCCCCCACCCCCCATTCTGCTGAGAAACAGGGGGGGATCTGGGGACTGATCAGCCCCATAACCCCCCTGGCCGGGATGCTGGCCCTACATCCCCCCATAAAATCCATGTTCCCATTCCCACGCGGCCCACGGAGGGTGGGCGCCACCTGCACGGGCTGCGAGGGGTTAATGCGGTGGGGGGGAAGGGGAGGGCGAAGCAGGAATGCGCGATAAGATCGGCGTGCCCGGGGGGAAGGGCTGGGGGAAGGGGGGGACACCCCACGCACGCTCTGCACACGCGTGTGCCCGGGGCACGCACGGCCACGGCGCTGCTGGGGGGGGCTCCTGGCACACCTGGGGGCGTTTGGGGACACCTGGGGGCATCTGGGGCCACCTGGGAGCGCTCGGGGCCACTCGGGGACCCTCCGGGCCCGCGGCTCACATGGCCTCTCGCCTCCGGCTCGCTCCCATCGCCAAAGATGGCCCGGCTATGGGATGAGGAGGAGGAGGAGGAAGGCGGGGAGGAAGGTCAGCTCAGACGCTGGGTCCTTGCCAGGACTCCTGGGTTTCCCCTCTTGCCATGAAAACCCGACACTGCCCCAAAAAGTCTCGTTATCTCACAAAAGAACCTACTGCCCCCAAAAAATCCCCCCTGAAAATCTGCCTATCCCCCTGCCCCCAAAAACCCATCTCCCCCCATACCCACCTCCCCCCACAAAAAAAACCCATATCCCTTCCCCTAAAAATCCATTTTCCCCCCTAAAACCCTGCCACTCATCTCCACCCTCCAAAAATCCATCTCCACTCTCCAAAACCCATCTCCCTGCCCAAAATCCCATCACTCCCCCTGCCCAAAATCCCATCTCCTGCCATAAAATCCCCCCTAAAACCAAACTCTCCCCTCCAAACCCCATTCACCCCAAACCTTCCCGTTCCTCCCCCCCTATCCCGAGCCGTCCCGGGATAAATTAGGCAATGCCAGCAGGGAGGAATGCAGGGAGAGGGGGCAGGGCAGGCGCATATTTGGGGCCCCCCTTTCTGCCCGGCCGTGCCGGTGACCCCGCAGCTGTTTCACCCCCAAATCCCGGGGGCGGATGGGGGGGACGGGGGGGTCAGAGCAGCTGTTTCTGTCCCCCCCCCCTCGGGACCAGCATCCCACAGCTGTGCTGGCAGCCCCCCCAAACCCTGGGGTGACCCCAATGCCCCCCAGCCCTTGGGGACCCCCGGGAGGGGGGAGAGGGGAATTTTTCATGGGGGAAGCACCTTTGAGCATGACCTTGGGGGGAACAATGAGCCAGGGGGGGACTGCTAATAATAACCCCCCCCGGTTATTATTCTTGTGCTGCGTCACCTCCTCTTCCTCACCCGGATGAATTAACGGGGGGGGGGCACATCCAGATTTGGGGGCCACTTGGAGATTTGAGGGGCCACATCCAGATTTTAGTGCGGGAACACCCAAACTGCCGGCGGACACCGAAATAAGGGGGGTGGGTGAGATGTAGCCCCTAATTCGGGGCGCACTTTGGAAGCGGGGGGGGTTGGCAGCGTGGTGCTTCCTCACCCTCCTCTTCCTCGCCCCCCTTCCCCGCCGAGTTTTCCCCAGGGTGCGGGGCAGGATTTGGGCCGGGGAGTGGAAAATGTGAGCGGCGGCGGCGGCGGCGGGGCCGTGGCGTCCGGCCGGGCGCGGTGCCCCGGCGGCAGCGGGGGGGTCCCGGCTGCGGGGCCGGGGAGCGGGAGAGGCTTCCGGTAACCGGAGAGGGGGGATTGGCCCCGACCCTGCGCCGACACCGCCGGACACCCGGCCCGCGGCTGCGCTTCCTGCGGCCGGGATGGGGCTGGGGAGCGGGGCTGGGCAGTGGGGCACGAGTGGGGAGCAGGGATTGGGCAGTGGGGCACGAGTGGGGAGCGGAACTGGGCAGTGGGGCACGAATGGAGAGCGGGGCTGGGCAGTGGGGCACGAATGGGGAGCAGGGATTGGGCAGGGGGGCACGAGTGGGGAGCATAGATTGGGCAGGGGGGCACGAGTGGGGAGCAGGGCCTGGCACCCACGGGCTCGGGGCACTAGTGGGGAGTGATTTCAGGGCACCCACGGGCTCAGGGCATGAGTGGGGGCGGTGCCAGAGCAGCAGGGGCTGGGGAACAGGGGCGGCATCCAGGGGCTCGGGGCACGCATAGGGAATGGTTCCAGGGCATCCAGGGGCTCGGGACACGAGTGGGAAGCAGGGGCTGGGCACCCGCGGGCTCAGTGCACGAGTGGGGGAAATTCCAGGGCACCCAGGGGCTGGAGAGCAGGGGATCGCACCCACGGGCGCAGTGCACGAGTGGGGGAAATTCCAGGGCACCCAGGGGCTGGAGAGCAGGAGCTGGCACCCATGGGCTTGGGGCACGAGTGGGGAGCGATTCCAGGGCCTGGGGAGTAGGGGTGGCACTCACGGGCTCGGGGCACGAGTGGGGAGTGATTGCAGGACACCCCGGGGCTGCGGCACCCGGGCTGGGCACCCACAGGCTTGGTGCATGAGTGGGGGGCAATTCCAGGGGCTGGGGGGCAGGGGCTGGGCACCCACTAGCTCAGTGCACGAGTGGGGGTGATTCCAGGACACCGACGGGCTCGGGGCACAAGTGGGGGACACGGTGGAAGAGCCCCTGCACGCTCCATGTGGGGACTGATCAGCCACTCCCTTGGGGACAATGGCAGAGCCCCCACTGGCCGGGAACACGCGTGGGGATGTGGGGTGAGCACCCAGTGCGCATCTGGGGAGAGGCAGAGCCACCCCAAGCACACACGGCCCCGTGCCTCAGTTTCCCCTTGCACGGGGGCTGGGCTGGCACCCACGAGGGACCCCTTGGGGTGTTGGGTCCTCCCGTCCGTGTGGCAGCGTGGCCCCCCCGTGTCCCCCCCGTGTCCCCCCCGTGTTCCCCCCGTGTCCCGTCCCCCCCTTGTCCCGCCTAATCCCCCGGCACTTGTTTGCACAGCAAAGTGCTGCAGCGACGGATTCCTGTCGGGGCCGGGGCGGGGGCACCGGGCTGGGGCACACCCGGCTGGGGCACCGGGCACACCCGGGCTGGGGCACACCCGGCTGGGGCACACGCGTGTGCACGGCCCCGGGGCACCGGGCACACCCGGGCACCGGGCTGGGGCACACCCGGCTGGGGCACACCCAGCTGGGGCACACCCGGCTGGGGCACACGCGTGTGCACGGCCCCGGGGCACCGGGCACACCCGGGCACTGGGCTGGGGCACACTCAGCTGGGGCACACCCGGCTGGGGCACACACGTGTGCCAGGGCTCGGGTGTGGCAGTGCCAGTGTTCCCTGGCACCTGGAGGTGTTCACAGCCACCTGTGGGTGTGACTGCCGTGGTGTGTGTGCTGTCACACGCGTGGCGCTGCAAACACGCGCGTGTGCACGGCCGGCCGCGGGCGCGCCTCGGTGCTGGTGCAAACGCGCGTGCACGGCCACGTGTCAGCGTGCACGCGCATCCCCGTGTCAGCGCACACGTGGAGCAGTGCAAACGCGCGTGCACACGCTTCCAGTGTGGCTGCACACGCGTGTGCACACCGGGCTCCGGGGCACTCTCCCCAGTGCCTGCACATGCACGTCCCGGTGCCGGTGATCCCGGTGCAGTCCCGGTGATCCCGGTGCTGTCCCGGTGCGGTCCTGGTGATCCCGGTGCAGTCCCGGTGATCCCGGTGCTGTCCCGGTGATCCCGGTGCTGTCCCGGTGCGGTCCTGGTGATCCCGGTGCAGTCCCGGTGATCCCGGTGCAGTCCCGGCGATCCCGGTGCAGTCCCGGTTATCCCCGGTGCCGGTCGGGGCAGGAATGCCGAGGGTGTGTGATGAGCTCATCCCGCTCCCTTCTCCCGGTGACGCCACCGCACAGCCACGCACCCCCACCCCCGTCCCCCCCCCGGGGTGACGTGTCCCATCCCATGGTGGCCCTGTCCCACAGTGGCCCCATCCCATGGTGGCCCTGTCCCACGGTGGCCCTGTCCCATGGTGGCCCCATCCCATGGTGGCCCTGTCCCACAGTGGCCCCATCCCGTGGTGGCTCCATCCCCTGGTGGCCCTGTCCCGTGGTGGCCCTATCCCATGGTGGCCTCGCCCCATGGTGGCACCGTCCCCTGGTGGCCCCATCCCACAGTGGCCCTGTCCCCCTGTCCCCAGGTCACCAGCAGTGCCCATGGCTGGGCCGACGCCTTCCCCGAGGACACGGTGGCCGATCACGTCGGGGACACGCAGGGACGGCGCTACTACCGGCACCTGTCAGATGACGAGGACCTGGTGGCCTCTGGAGGTGAGGGGACACCAGGGTGGGTGGGTCCTGATGCCACTCTGCGTGCCACTTGCACAGTCCCCGCTGAGGATGGCACTGGGACCCCCTGGGTCGGTGCCACCAGGAGTGGGAGTCACCTTGGCTGAATGTCACCGTGGGTGGGTGTGACACACATGGGGGGTGTTACCATCAGCTGGTGCCACCATGGGTGCCACTCACTCGCCTGTCCCCATTTTAGGTGGGAAAGGGACCTGATGGCACCCAGCACTAAGGTGGCACTGGCTGTGTGGGTGCCACCCTGGATGCTGCTTACACTCATTGTGGTTGGTGCCACTTGGACTGGTGGCATCTGGTGATAAGGTGGCACTGGGTGGGTGGATGTCACTGCGAGCGAGTGCCACTCATGCTGCCCCAACAGAGATGCCACCAGAATTTGGTGGCAGACAGTGGCAGGGTGGCACTGAGTGGGTGAGCATCACCGTGGGTGTCACCACGGGTAGAACCACCCTGGGTGCTCCCATGTTGTCCCCAGGGCGGATGGCACTGGTGTCATGTGGCAGTAAAATGTCACCAGGTGGTGGCTACCATGGATGTGTGGATGACCACATGGTCCCCATTGTGGGTGGCACTGGGATCTGGTGGCATCTGGTGGCAGTGGGTGCCACCATGGGTGGGTGGATGTCACCGTGGGTGGGTGGATGTCACCATGGGTAGGTGGGTGCCACCATGGGTGGGTGGATGTCACCGTGGGTGGGTGGATGTCACCATGGGTAGGTGGGTGCCACCATGGGTGGGTGGATGTCACCGTGGGTGGGTGGGTGCCACCATGGGTGGTTGCATGTCACCATGGGTGGATGGGTGTCACCATGGGTGGGTGGGTGCCACCATGGGCGGGTGGGTGTCACCAGGGGTGGAAGGGTGCCACCGTGGGTGGGTGGATGTCACCATGGGTGGGTGGGTGCCACCATGGGTGGGTAGGTGCCACCATGGGCGGGTGGGTGCCACCATGGATGAGTGGGTGTCACCGTGGGTGGGTGCCCACGCATGGGGACCCCACGGGCGGGTGCCACCCTCACGCTGTGCCCGTGGCAGATGGCAGCGGGGAGGATGGCAGCGGTGTCCCCTGGCCACCGAGCGTCAAGGCCCCGCCTCCCAGCAGCGGGCTGGCACCCACCGGTAAGGGGACACTGTGGATGGCATCTGGCCCCGGGCTGGGCCCCACTGCTGGCACCGCTCTCAACCTCTGTCTCCTCTTCATCCTCCTCCTCCTCCTCTTCCTCCTCCTCCTCCTCCTCCTCCCCGGGGGCAGCGCCCGGGCCCCGCCCCGCGCCCGCGGGCATGGTGGTGGCCGAGCCCGAGGACGACCCCCCGATCAGTAAGTGACACTTTTTGGGGACCCCCCTTTTGCTGCACCCTCACTTTTCCTCCTCCTGCGCTTTACTGGGTGGGATCCCAATCCCTGTGGGGATGGGGGAGACCCAGCTGGGGATTACAAGGAACATCTGGATGGGGGGCTCACATCTGGGTGGGGGTCACAGCTGGGCGAGGGGGATTTTTTGGGGGTGCAGGTGTCACCCCCCCAAGTTTTGACACCCCATCCCCAATTTTTGCAACCCCCACCCCCAGTTTATTTCCGGGCTCTGGTGAACTTCACCCGCAGCATCGACTACAGCCCGCGGCTGGAGGACCCTGACTCCGAGGAGTTCCGCGAGATTTCCGAGGCCGTGGTGGACACGGTGGGCGCTGGGGAGGCATTCGGGGGGTGCAGGGGTGGGGGGCACCCGAGGGACCCTTTGGGGGGACCCGAGGGACCATCCTGAATCCTCATTTCCGACAGCTGGAGTCCGAGTATTACAAAGTGCCTGGGGACCAGGTGGTCAGCGTGGTCTTCATCAAGTGAGTGAGGAGGCTTGGGGGGCTTTGAGGGGGCTTGGGGGGCTTTGGGGGAGTCCAGGGGGGTTTAGGGGGTTTGGGAGGTTGGGAAAAGGTGGCGCAGGGGGGCCTGGTGGAGCAAGGCATCATCTGGGGAGATTTTGGGGTGCAATGAAGGAGTTTTGGGGTGTAGAAGGCGCTTTTGGGTGTTTTGGGGATGATGGAGATGTTTGGAGGTGATGGGGCAGATTGGAGGTGAAGGGGATGTTTTGGGGTGTAATGAAGGGCTTTTGGGGTGCAATGAGGGGCTTTTGGGATGCAGTGATGGCTTTTGGGGTGCAATGAGGAGATTTTGGGGTGCAATGAGGAAGTTTTAGGGTGTAGAAGGAGCTTTTGGGTGTTTTGGGGATGATGGAGATGTTTGGAGGTGATGGGGCAGATTGGAGGTGAAGGGGATGTTTTGGGGTGCAATGAGGGTCTTTTGGGGTGCAACGAGGAAGTTTTGGGGTGCAGCAAGGAGCTTTGGGAGTGCAGGGATTTTTTAGGGGTGACTAATGCATTTGGAGGTGATGGGGCAGATTGGAGGTGAAGGGGATGTTTTGGGATGCCATGAGGGGCTTTTGGGGTGCAATGAGGGAGTTTTGGGGTGCAGCAAGGAGCTTTTGGGAGTTCAGGGAGGTTTTGAGGATGATGGAGATTTTTGGGGGTGATGGGCAGGTTGGAGTTGGAGGGGATGTTTTGGGATGCAGTGAGGGCTTTTGGGGTGCAATGAGGAGGTTTTGGGGTGCAATGAGGAGGTTTTGGGGTGCAATGAGGAAGTTTTGGGGTGCAGCAAGGAGCTGTTCGGAGGGCAGGGAGGTTTTGGGGATGATGGAGATGTTTGTAGGTGGTGGGGCAGATTGGAGGCGAAGGAGATGTTTTGGGATGCCGTGAGAGGCTTTTGGGGTGCAATGAGGAGGCTTTGGGGTGCAATGAGGAAGTTTTGGGGTGCTTTTGGGAGAACAGAGAGGTTTTGAGGGTGTTGGGGTGGATTGACAGCGATGGGAATGTTTTGGGGTGCAAAGGGGGGCTCTTGGGTTGCAGTGAGGACATTTCAGGGTGCAGTGAAGAGCTGCTGGGATTTTTTTGGGCTGACTGAAGCATTTAGAGGCGCTGGGGTGCATTGGAGGAGACGAGCAATTCTCGGGGTGCAGTGTGGGTGGTTTGGGGGCTCAGGGCCGGTTTGGGGGTGCAGTGTGGCCGCTCTGGGATGCTGACTCGCTGTCCCCCAGGCAGCTGGACGGGGACGTGTTCGTGGAGCTGGACGTGGGCTCGGAGGGCAACGGGGACGAGGCGCAGCTCGGGGGGGTCCTGCGGGACCTGCTGGCCGGGGGCTCCATCGCCTCCTACCTCACCTCCCCCCTGGGCTTCCAGTTCCGCCGCCTGGGAGCCGGTGAGACTGGGGGGCTCTGGGGGGCTCTGGGGGGTTTTGGGGTGCTCTGGAGCGGTTTGGGGTTGGAAGCCTCAGAGCAGCGCATCCCAACCTGTGTCGCTCTGCTGGCTGAATTATGGGTGGGGGGATGTTTTGGGGTGCCCCCCCCGACCCTGTGCCCCCTCCCTGGCCGCAGTGACCCCCCAGCCCCGCGCCTGCACCGCCGGGGAGTTCTCCTGTGGCAGCGGGGAGTGCGTGGCCCTGGAGTATCGCTGCGACCGCCGGCCCGACTGCCACGACGCCTCTGATGAGGAGGGATGTGGTGAGCAATGGGGCACCCCAGAACCTCCTCTGTCCCCTCCAACCCCCCCTGCCCCCTTTCCCCATCCCATGGGCCTGACACTGCCCCTCTGCACCCCCCTTTCCTGCCTATAACCCTCCTATAGTCTCCTCCTGTACCCCAATTCTCCCTTTAACCCCCCTGCTCCCTATTTTGGCCCTACACCCCCATAAACATTCCCTGAAACCCCTTTTTATCATATACTCCCTTATACTCTACTGCCCCCTCATTTCCCTCCAGCCCTCCTGCACCCCATGAACACTCCCCACACCCCTTTTGCCCTCTATACCCCTCTATGCCACTCTGCACCCCTATTTCTCACTTTAACCCCCTGCACCCCCATTTTATCTCTATGCCCCCATAAACACTCCCCACACCCCTTTTTTCCCCCATATAACCCCTCTGCACCCCATTTTGCCCCTACACCCCACTAAAAGCCCCCCTTGCACCCCTCCCACACCCCTTTTGCCCTCTATACCACTCTGCACCCCCATTTCTCACTTTAATCCCCCCACACCCCCATTTTATCCCTATGTCCCCATAAACACTCCTCACACCCCTTTTTTCCCTTTATAACGCCTCTA